ATGGGCTGATAACATCCATAGGAAGAGAGAGAGAGAGAGAGAGAGAGAGAGAGAGAGTATATATGCAGTGGAGGGCTTCCAACTATTGAGGACTGTTAGCTGCTTGTTATTGCGGCAGCTATTTAGATGCCTCCGGGGGTCGATGTGATCTTGTTCTACCTTCCTTTGGCATGCGTCTCTGGTTTCTCTCTCTAGGGCTATGGTGGGTGCAGTAGTGTAGATTGATGTGAGGCTTACTGCATGCATGCAGCTGAAATCCCAGCATCAGAACAAGTAGCTCATGGAATTCTTCACATCGCTGTTTGGAGATCACATCAATTGTAGAGTAGTTTCGTGATCATTCATGCCTCCGGGTTTTTACCCAAGCAGATTCGTATCTGCGCGAGAAAAGGAATGAGGGCTTCAACAGTGGGAGTGGGAGCGGGAGGAGGAGGAGGAGGAGAGGCTGTCGCTTGAAGCCATGCGTGGGGTTGATGTCGCGAATCCAATGGCAGGAAAGATTCCCCCCGACAACAAAATCTAGGGGAGGAAAGCATTCCGTTCCCCTCCCGAGGGGGCCCCACGCACACAACACGCGAAGGGTCCCACCATCGCCTTCCGCTTTCCTTATAAGAGCTTCGACTCGCTCACCATCCCCTCCGGCCTCTGGGATTGATTTCCTCCTCCTCTCTGCCGCATGCATGATAGAATTCTTGCGTTGGACTCTGCGGTGAGTGAGTTGCAGGTAGATAGAGGAGGAAGATGAGCATGGAGGAGGTGGAGGAGGCGAGAGAGGAGGGGAGTCATGGCAGCATGTTTGAGGGTGGGGTGGAGGTGAGGGTGTTGGTGGTGGATGACTCCCCGGTGGACAGACGGGTGGTGGAAGGGTTGCTCAAGAGGAGTGGAGCCATGTTTCAAGGTGAGATCAGTGAGCAGGAGATGGTGTTATGCCCTTTTTTTTTTTTTCTGTGTGGTTTCAGATTTGGTTGGTGTCTTCTATGATCAATTCATTCTTTCGTTTTCCCTTTTTGTCTTTTTACCTCCTTCTGTTATCTTTTTTCTCTTAGATTCTAAGCTTTTTCAAAGAAATAAAGTTATCTTAGAATTTGGCATGTTTTATTGGTGTAGTGATTACTTCTCCTTTCTTCTCTCTTCTGTTTAGTGTTTGCTGTACAAATTCAAAGCTCTTCAGTCTCTCTCTCTCTCTAAAGACACATCTTCTATCTCTTTCAATAACCCCAGTGCTGGATGTTCTTTCTTTTGCTAAAAATCTGTACTTGAAATGTGGATTGGTATGTGTGTAGTCTGGGGACTATCTACAGTAGGCATCTCTTGAAACTGGACCACAATCTTCTGAGGTATATTTTTTGGGGACCATTCAGAATCTAGTAGCAAATATGCATCTTTCCATCAGTAAAATCTCTATTTTCCACTGGCAATTGCATTGTTAAGGTTCTTCCATGTATGATCATGAAAGAAAAATGTGATCTATATCTACACAAAAATTGGTTTCCAACTTTTGCAGAACATACATGAGGGATTTTGATCTATCTTTTAGTTTGCTCTGCAACTGTTGCCGACAGATCTAAGTTAAAAAGTTCAAAGCATTTAGCTATGCTTTGTCCGTTGACAGATTTGTTTCAATCATTTTGATGGGACTAACTAAAATCAAGCATTAGGAAGCAATCTATGATGATGAAACTAGAAAATTTTCATGTGATAATTTGGTAAGTCGATTTCACCAGCAATCAACATCCTTTTGTTGCTACTGTCAATCCCAATTGAAAGTTTCATTTCTAATTGGAAGACTTCCAAAGCCAGATTCCTCAAACAAGCTATTTTCATGCAGTTATAGCTGTCGATAGCGGAAAAAGAGCGATGGAAGTTCTTGGATTGACTGAAGGGAAGGAGGCTGAACAGCCTACTGTTGATGTAAGTCACATTGTCGATCGAAAAAAAATGGCGATCTTGCAGAAAGATTATGTAGTTCAACTTTGCAGTAACTCTAAAAAATAATGTAGGATCCAAAGATAGACATAATCCTCACCGATTACTGTATGCCGGAAATGACTGGTTATGATCTTCTAAAGGCTGTCAAGGTATGATGCTTCATTTTCCCTCTGCTTCACATTTCTAGTCATATCTATTGCTGTTAATCATAAGCAATTCTTGATATTGCTTTTGTCACATATCTGTCTTAAATTTCAGGAGCAGAGCAGTCAAAAACCTATTCCTGTGATCATAATGTCATCAGAGAATGAGCCACAGAGAATCAGCAGGTCTGTAGCTTCCTTAATTTTCATTTCCAGTCCATATGATGTTAATATGAGATCATATCAAACAATCTGTTTTTAGCACAAATATGAACAAATCTAGATACAAAACTCGGTAGCCAAGCAAACATTTTATACAGATACCTAACCACAGCTCATTATCAAATATCTGTTATCTGAAAAGATTTGGCCTAATTCTTCTTCTTTCTGTCACTATAACAACTACAAAGCAAGTCAAGTTAATCCAAGAATGAGAAAGTAGAAACTAGCTTTCTATGTACGCATTGATCTTAGATCCCCATAATTTAATGAACCATTATAATCACAGACAAGCAAGTTTCTATTACATTGGTCACTTTGAAGCCTTTCTTGGTCCTAAGGAAACCAATAGACTTTCTAGGCATGCCATGTGTTATCTATCAGGATATATATATAATCTAGGATAGAATGATTTTTCCTTCTAAAGTAGGATAGAGTTGTGGATTGAGAGGTACACTGGATGGACAGAAAAACTTGATTCAAGTTTTGCTTTTATGATTTGCCAACTAGATATTGGTTAACTTTTGTTGAATAGTTCCTTTTCTTCAATGACATTGATGTTCCCCAAACTTAAAGCAAGCTATGAAATGATTGTGGATATGAAGATCCAATTGTGTGGTTGATATGCAAAAGAAATCACTGCAGTCAAAAAGTTTTTAGCTAGAAAATTATCAGAGTAAACTTATCATTTTACCTTTTATCATTGTCCATCGACATATCATATGCTTTTCCTATCCACCCATCTGAACTGGCATCAAACAACATAGGCAACAACTTATCATATGCTTTTCCTATCCACCATCTCCATGACTTCTGGAAACTGCTTTTCCTGTTGAATTGTCCTTCTGGTCCTTGCTTTTAGCTAAACTGAAGATTTTGATGTTTCTTCCTCGACTAATGCCAGCAACACCAATTGATCGCCCATTTGTTTCATTGTAGGTGCCGAGCTATTGGCGCTGAGGACTATCTCCTTAAACCTCTTCAAACAAATGATGTACTGAGACTGAGGGATTATGTTCGACCGAAAGCGTTATCACCCAAAACAGGCACCAAAAGGAAGATCGCAATAGAAATGATGGCTGAGAACAGTGGTTCGGAGAGGAGACCATGCCTTGCTGGGTTGGCAGTGGCCTGATGATAATCATTCAAGCATGATAAGGAGGCTCTCATGCTGTAACAACAATTTAGTGCCTATCATAATATATCCCACCTCTCCTTGTGCTCTCAGTAGTGAGTTTGCTTGTTGGTGTGAGTGGATGAATCATCTACAGACAACTGTTCTTCTGAGTTCTTGTGAATGTTCTCCTAATTAAATTCCATAAAAGTTCTGATTCTTCTAGGCTTGTCTGCTTGCATTGGACTGTCAATTTTAACTCCTTAATTCTGTGTCTATAAGGGTGCTTCTTTGCAACCTGAAGATTTTAACTACCACCTGAATGTTTATCTGATAAAATAACCTTGTGTTGTAAGATCTTACAGGTTCCAACACATCATTATTTCTGTCTGACTCACCATAATCACAAACCCAATTCAGTAAATATTCTTTTCCTCCACTACATCAAATTTTAGATTACTCCTACACTGATACCACCAAACATTGAATGTTTGATGTTCCAAGATCTTGCACTACTGTTCTTGAGGAATCTCAAATGACACTGAGTTGATCTTAATCAAAAACTCTTTTCTCTGCTGCCACAGATATTAAACAACACTTGTTATTAGAACTAGAAGCAGCTAATCCAATAGAATGCCAGCTTTATGGTCAACATTTTGTTTCCACCAAGGAGAAAACTTCAACTAAAAGTTCTCAGATTATCATTATAACTGATTTCATTTATAATCAGATAATGCTTTTTTCAGGCAACATCCGTGTAGTTGAGGCATCACCGACTACTATATGTTTACTTTGTTTTTGTGTATGTTGCTCTGGAGGCCTGAGTAATATATAAATTGTGGGAGATATAGCGAAGATATTAGAAGATCAAGAGCAGAGAAATCTGTCTGTTTGTTCAAATGCAAATCCTTTCCATTGGCTCTTTCATCAGCTGATCCAAAGTCCTCAGTGTATTGTAAATGAAGGTTCTTTTTCGATGAGATAGATCACCAGCCACAAGTCCATGTCTCTTCATTGTCAGTTTGCTCGAATGCAAATCCTTTCCATTGGCTCTTTCATCAGCTGATCCAAAGTCCTCAGTGTACTGTAAATGAAGGTTCTTTGTGGATGAGATAGATCACCAGCCACAAATACATGCCTCTTCATTGAAACCTCAAGCCAGCTGCATCCTGCTGGCTTCTTGAGGTCCCTGGTCTTCATCAGTCTCCTGACCTGCTCAACACCTTCCCACCTCCCATCTGCAGCATATATATTTGACATCACCACATAGTTTCCAATGTTTTCAGCCTCAGCATCAAATAAGTGATCTGCCACCATCCGCCCAATTTCCACCTCCTTGTGGATTTTACATGCTCCCAGCAGCGTACCCCACACATTGGCATTAGCCTCACAGGGCATGTCCAATATAAACTCATAAGCTTCTATCAGTTGTCCTCTTCGAGCAAGAAGATCCACCATACAGGCATAGTGCTCCATTGTAGGTCTAATACCATGAATCTCAATTGTGGACTTGAAAAGCCTCCACCCAACATCAATTAACCCTGCATGACTGCAAGCTGACAGAACAGCAGTCATGATAACATGATCTGGTTTTACATGGGCTTCAAGCATATCAGAGAAGACTCTGATTGCCTCTTCTGCCAATCCATGCATTGCATAGCCACCAAGCATAGCAGTAAAGGTTACCAAGTCCTTCTTGGGGCTTGCCTGAAAGAGTTTGTATGCATCATCTAAGCTTCCACATTTCGAGTATGAATCTAAGAGAGCACCTTCGAGGTGAATGTCGTATAGAGAAGTACGGATCACATAGCCATGACACTGCCTTACCAGACAAGGAGAAGCCAGACGTGCACAAGCTGGAAGAATGCTCATGATGCTCAGAGCGTCAGGTCTCATGCCCTCACTCTGCAACTGATGAAACAGAGTAAATGCAAGATCACTGCAATCGTTCTGAGCATAAGCTTGCACCATGAGATTCCAAGTTGTGAGATCCTTTTCACACATCTGACCAAAGACCATCTCTGCATCCTCTGAACGACCATGCTTCAGATAGCCTGAGATCATTGTATTGCCTGTGATGACATTCCTTCCTGTCAAGTTCAAGAAGGTTCTATGTGCACCCTCAGTGCTCCCACACTTTGCATATGCATCAAGTATCGCATTTCCAACAGTAATATGACTCACGAAACCAGCACGAAAGGAATAAGCATGAGCTTCTCTGACCTTTCTTATGCCATATGTAGTGCTTGCCCGAAGAACACTCAAAATTGTTACAGAGTCAGGTTGTATCCCTTCGCAAATCATTTGAGTCAGGAGGTCAGCAAACTTCTCCAACTGTTCATTATTGATACAAGCTGAAAGCATTGTGTTCCATGATATTATATCTTTCTTATTAATACCCCTAAAAGTTTGTAGTGCATCCACTATGTCACCGCACCTTCCATAGAAATCAACGATAGCATTCCCTAAAGATGTTTCCTGGCACAGTAGATTCTGCCGAATAACATAACCATGGATCTTCCTTCCCCCTTCTACATCATACAGTTGAGCACATACAGGAAGAATGCTTAGGAAAGTAACTGAGTCAGGTTTTGTGCTACCGATCAGCAACTGCTGAAGTAAATCTAATGCCTTTGAGGTCCACCCGTTGATGGCATATCCAGCAATCATGGTGTTCCATGTCACGAGGTCCCATGAATCCAATCGACCGAAGATATATTCAGCTCTCTTCATGTCTCCAACCTTTGAATAATGCGTCAGAAGTGAATTACAAATAGAAAGTTGCACATCTAAACCATGCCGCAGAATGTAACAGTGGAATTCATTTCCACGATGCCAGCCACCTTCCGTGAATGCACAGATAGGAAGAACAGTCACAAGTGTTGTATCATTCGGCAAGAAATTCATCGACACCATCCGAGAGAACAGTCGGAATGCCTCAGCAAATAACCCACACTGAGAGTACCCTCCAATCAAGGAATTCCATGATACCGTGTCCTTCGAAGATATGAGCGAGAACACTTTGTGAGCATCATCGATGATGCTACCGCATTTTGCGTACATCGACACAAGTGCATTTCCCACCAAAGTATCAGTGTCTAATCCAATCTTGATCACGTAAGCATGGACACCTTGCCCTGTCTTCAGAACGTTTAGCTTGGCGATAACCGGAAGGATCACAGCAATAGTCACCGCAGTAGGCTTGACACCCTCGACACCACACCCATGCATGGAGTGGAACAAACGCATCGCGTCCTCGGAAAGCCCCGTACGAGCATATCCCGTCAACAGCACGTTCCAAGTGACCGAATCTCGATGACCCACCTCCTCGAAAACCTGGCAAGCATCACGCAGCGCTCCAAATCCGGCATACATGTCGATCATCGCCTTCTGGACCGCCACGATCCCCGCGAATCCCGCCTTCACAGCAAACCCATGGACGGCCCGTGCGTGTCCAGCGACACGAAGCGCCGCCGCGGACTTGACGACGGCGGCGAGCGCAAAGCCATCGGGCCTGAGCCGGGCGCCAAGCATTCGCACGAACACGGAGAGCGATGCCTGGTAATCGCGGCCCGACGTATGGGCCCTGATCCTCTGGTTGCATGTTCGGAAGTCGGGTACGGGCATTTCGTCGAGCAGGTAGCGGGCGGTCTTGACGGGCGATCGCTCACGGGGCATTCCGAAGCCATGACAGGAGGCAAGTGGTTCAGCGGAGAGGGATCTAACGACAATGGATGTTGGAAGAGGGCGAGCCGAAGGGTTGGGATCCGAGGAGAAGAAGGTGACGACGGGCTTGGAACTCGGTCGGATGGCTACCTTGCGAGTCCAAATCGGGACCATCAAAGCATAGCATGGCAACTTCTTCTTCGCCTACAGACGCATCCTGATGCGTTTACAAGGGTGGATATGACTCCACGTTGGCTATCCGAGAAGGCTTATTATCTATCTAAATGTCATGCACAAAATACAATAGCAATTTACGGACCCATATCGAGCCATGCAACATATATCACTTGGTTACGTTAGCCATATCCATATCCATATCCATATCCCAAGGCCTAAGTGACCATATGTCGCCGTTTAGACATAGGAAAACCTCTATATATTTGGCCCATTAATTACCAAACTGGAAAGTCTCGTCTTGCTCGATCAAGAGGATTAAAAATCTTCTTTGCATAAAAGACCATCAGAACACTAAATGTAGTCGAATAAAGCAGCTTAAAACTCGAATGGAAAGATGAAACGTAGGAAAGAGTGATCCATCCTCAAAATCTTAATCCTTGGAACGGATCGACGGCCGTGATTCAGCCACCAGCTGCTGCGTTTGGAGTCCTCTCTCCTCTATAAAAAGGCTTCGTCGTCGAGTCTCTCCACTTCCTTGCGTACGTGATGTTCTCTTTGCTTTCTTAGCTTCCCTCGGCGCGGGCGACAGAGAGTCTCATCCACCTCGATCAACCTTTTGGCGCTCCGAGCACAATTGGAGGTGTTCTCTTTGGCCTTCCTTTTCGAGTTTTCTCTCTCTCTCTCTCTCTCTAAAAAACCTTCAGTTGGGTTGCATACTCTTATGTACTTCTGTCCTTTAAATCATTTTTGGGTTGACTATTTTATGGTTCTATGATGCTTGATAAGTTTATGCTTTAGATTTACCTTATAGGTGAGCAGTTATTATTCTGCTGGGGGTTGAATGTATAGGTATATGAATGATTTCTAATATTCACAAATCGTATAAATGTAGAATGTGATAGAAACATCCTGCATAATGGTGCAGAATGTGTATCTGATGTTGTAAGAGCTATGGTGGTGCAGAAGGTGATTGCTAACATGGACTCAGCGAATACTAGAAAGGATGGAGGTGTTGGTGGTAATATTCCACCACGGGGGAGAAGTGCTGAAGAGCCTGATGCTGGAGAAGGCAACGCTGCTGTTGATGACCCGAACAAGGACAAGGAAAGTGTAGGGAAGGACTCACAGGAGGATGGATGGCAGGTGTACACAAGGAAATCTAGGAGGAGGAGAGCTGGACGTGCCTCATTGAAACCTTGGGGTTCTTCTGTTTCTTCACCAAAAGCTGGTTGGTCTTCTGGTAAGGATTGTGCTCCATTGGAACCTTGGGGTTCTTCGATTTCTTCACCGAAAGCTGGTTCGTCTTCTGGTAAGGATTGCGCTCCACTGGAACCTTGGGGTTCTTCAATTTCTTCACCAAATGCTGGTTGGTCTTGTGGAAACAACAGTCTCCAAAACAATAAGAATCGGCCTCTTGGCAGAGGAAATTCTAAGCAGAAACCACGGCACATGGCTTCAGCTCCGGTTATACCTCCGCCTCTGCCACATGGCTGGCAGTGTGCAACAAGGTTTGGACCATCTAGTTCTCGATCGAAGGTAGAAGAAGACTGTCATGTTGAGGTTGCTGATGCGAAGGAGGAGGAGGAGGAAATAGTCGATGACAGCGATGATGATCTCACTAGCTATTATGATACTGATGCAAGTCAAAGGGGCCACGAGACCCGAAGGAAGAACAAATGGCTGCAGAAATTTTTCGGAGAGATGGATGATCTGACGGCCGAAGAAATTAGTGACCCAACCGGAGAATGGCAGTGTCCTGCATGCCACGGTGTTCCTGGTGCCATCCGCCGTTACAAGGGCCTGCAGCGTCTTGTGAGCCATGCAAAGACACAGAAGAAGGCCCGACTAAAGCTTCATGGAGAGTTTGCTTCAATGTTGGAAGAAAACCTTGGCCGTAGAGGAGCTTCTGCCGCACCTGCCGGTAAAGTGTTTGGCAAATGGCAGGGGCCGAAGAACATGACGACCGATCATGAGATAGTCTGGCCTCCAGCGGTGATTGTCATGAACACCCGACTCGATCATGATGAGAACGAAAAGGTACTTGTACTTGAGGATTGCTATTTTGCGAACTTGTGTTCCGATTCATGTTACTGTTGTTCTGCTACAGTGGATTGGGATGGGAAACCAAGAGCTCCGCGACTGTTTCAGCTCATATGATGTAGTGAAGGTCCGCCATTCCTATGGCCCTAATGGGCACCGTGGGATGAGCGTTTTGATCTTCGAAGCCACTGCGACGGGCTACTTGGAGGCCGAGCGGCTGCACAAGCATTTTGCAGAGCAGGGAACCGATAGGGATGCATGGGCACACCCTTGCCGGAGGCTGTTTTGTGCAGGTGGTAAGCGGCAGCTTTATGGTTACTTGGCCCGGAAAGAAGACATGGATTCCTTCAACCGCCACCGTCATGGTAGATCTCGTCTGAAGTATGAGATGAGATCATATCAGGAGAAGGTTGTGATCCCGACGGAGCAAATGCGTGAGGACGCTAAGCAACTCCCCAGGCTCGAGAAGAAGGTCATGAGGCGAGAGCGACAGTACCAGACCCTCGAACAAACCCTCGATGACATAACCCAGCTATTGCATCAGGTCATGGAAGAAAACAGCGCTGTGAAGCTTAGGGCCAAGCTCCAGCATGAAGAACACAAAGCACAGGTGATCTTATTCTTCATGACCTTTGTTCCACGATCACTTTGGACTTTGATCTTTGCATTGGCTTAATGATGTTTAGATGGACAACCAAGAGAGATTTCTCAAGGAACAAATGGACAAAATTCACAAGATGACTAAAGAGAAAGAGAGGAATTTTGAGAAGCAGCTGCCGAAGGAGCGTGCAAAGGCAAAAGATTCGGATCAGAGGCTCAGGTAAAGCTTAAGTTATCTACGAACACTTTCGTAAGCTTTATGATGATGACTGTGACGGTCATAGAAATATATACAGGAACGAAGAGATCGAAAGGTTCATCAATAGCCAAGTTAAAGAGGTGGAGAAATTTGAGGCAGACAGAGAGAAGCTGAAGCATGCACATGAGCAGAAGAAGTTGGAACTGAAGAAGAGACGTCAAGCAGAGAAAGTCGAGCTGGCGAAGGAGTTGGATGCTGCGCTGACAAAGTTGATGGAGAAATACACTCCTGCCGGTTTCCATGCCTCCTCCACCAGTAGCTCTTAGAGGTTTTAGGAGAAGAGGAATCGTGTACAGAATCTTTCTTTCATTTGGTAAAGACATAAACATGAGAGAGTCCATTTGATCTGTGTATTACTAAACTTGTGTGAAATTAGAAGTCCTCTCTGTTTGCAGACAGTGGACATTCTTTTATCACCATTTAGTTGATTGTTTTGGGAGCTAATTGAATCTTTCTTTTCTACTAAAGAAACCAGCTAAAGCTTCGTAGACTCGAGTAGCAAAGCTTCCGAGGGCAGGAAGGGCCAGTGCAGGTTGCAGAGTGATGAGGATAATAAATAGCGACAAGACTCGCGCAGACGTCAGCTGTCCCGGACGACACCTCACACCTCAAACGACCCGACGGAACCTGATTAAATGAACCAGAACGCGGATCGAGGCCTATTAACGACCTATTCAGACTCTGTTCTTCACGTCACGCCAACACCCGTGTCAGATGCAACCCGCTCCCTGCAAGCGGTCGCATCGGATACGGTAAATCGCCCTATAAAAACCCTACCCCTGAAAAGGGTGGAGGGGGAAGAAAGAAAAAGAGGGAACCACTCCATTCCACATCACTAACTTGATCGTCGGAGGGGTCGGGCCGAGCTATCAACCCGACCTGTGTGCAGGTAAGAAGACGAAGCTATCCCCCCGGGATGCCAAGGAGAGGAAGCCTTCCCCATGCGACATCCCGATCGGCCCAGACGTGATCTGATCCGCACGGTCGGTCACTTCATCAACCCCGAGCAAAGACCCCTGCCATTCGGCCCTGAAACAAGCCGCGTCGGCCCCGAGGCCACGGCACAAAGTTGTTTACACTAACAGATTTGGCGCTAGAAGGAGGGCCCGAATGTCGCGGGATCCCCTAATTGACCCCGACGAAGCCCTAGCCGAGGGATCGTTCTTGACAGGGGCATCGACCGAGCGCCCCTCGCGCAACGAGCCGCGGGCGGACGATCTCGCCACGACCTCAGAACGCTACTGGCGTCTGTTTAACGACCCGGGCCTGCTTCCCCCCGAGGGCACTCCGAGCGTCCCCTTGCCCGTGTCATCAGAAGCCTTCCAGGACCTCGCCCTTCAAGTCCGAGCCTTGGCAGGAATGGTGCAGACAGTAATCCCGCTCGTTTCCCATACGACAAACCCGTCGGTGGCCCAGCCTGTGCATCGATCGGACCCATCTACACCTGTTCACGTGACTACCTCGGTACCCCTCGGCTCACCCCAGGCCCGGGCATTTCCCCTAGGAAATCAGGCGGGGGAAAATCCTCCCGGTCAACCCGAGCATGAGCCGATGTCTACTGAATCAACGGGCTCTCTCCGGGCCCAGCTGCACTTTCTCAGTCAACGACTCGAAGAAATACAGAGAGAGGTCCGAACCTCAAAGGGGGAGCCTGGGGACGTGGCGCGCTGAGGGTCATCGTTCGCGGTCGAAATACGGGATCAGCCCGTGCCCGCAAGCTTTCGACTCCCCTCCCTAGACGCCTATGACGGCACTACCGACCCCGCTGACCACGTGGCCGCCTTCCGGGCTCAGATGGCGCTATACGGAACCTCTAACGCTCTGATGTGCAGGGCGTTTCCCCCGACCCTGAGAGGTTCGGCCCGCGCTTAGTATAGCGGTTTGAAGACCGGGGGAATCACCTCCTTCGACCAGCTCGCCAAGGAGTTCGAGCTCAACTTCTTGGCTTTGGCTCGGCCAAAGCCATCCATCGCCCTGCTCCTTGGACTGAACCAAAAGGAGGACGAACCTCTATCTCATTTTGTGAACCGATTCGCCACTAAAATTCGGGGTCTATCAGGTGCTCACCCCTCTTTATTGATGCAGGGTGGGTCTCCGTCCCTCTAAGTTCTTTTGGTCCCTCATGGAAAGACCCCCCACCGCCGTCTCAGAAATGCTCCAGCGAGCCAATCACTATGTCGCGGCAGAGGCTTGGATGTCCGGGAGACGCGAGGAGAATAAAAGACCCCGGGCGGAACCATCGATCGGGCAGCTACCCGGTCTGCTGAAACGCAGATCGGACCGATCTGATTCGACCATACGAAGGTCGCCCTCTCCTGTTTTGGGAACATCCTGGACTCAGATATTCCTCCAGATAAAGGGGAAGGGGCTGCTCCAAACCCCCACCCCGATGAGGAACCCTCGGGAGCTCGCAGACAAAACGAGATATTGCCGCTTCCATCGACAGAACGGGCATGATACGGAAGAGTGTCGTGAGCTGAAGCGACAGATCGAAGAATTGATTCGAAGGGGGCATCTCGGCCACTACCTACGACAAAATAAGGAGCTTTCCCCGCAGCCCGAGGGCCCTGTCAAAAGACAGATTGATGTGATCACGGGCAGCCCAGCGTCTAGGGGAAACAACATGACTAGGCGAAAAGCGTACGCCTGCGCCCCAACACTCGAGGACCCCGTACACGATCCCGCACCCGAGGTCACGTTTCCAGCTGAGAGAGCCGAACCGCCCGAACACGATGACGCATTGGTGGTGTCTGCCAGAATCACCAACGCCCAAGTGAAAAGGATCATGGTCGACACGGGGAGCTCGGCCGACATCCTCTATTTGGACGTATTCCAGAAGCTCGGGCTCTCCCGTGACGCCCTGGTGCCCATGAACTCGGCGCTCACCTGATTCACCGGCGAATCAATTTCGCCACTGGGCACGACCATCCTACCCTTGACCCTCGAGGAGGCACCAAGGATGAAGACGGTGATGACAACCTTCTTGGTGGTCGACCTTCCTACCACATACAATGCAATCCTGGGACGCCCCACTCTCAACAAGTTCAGAGCAATTATCTCTACCTACCACCGGACAGTGAAGTTCCCGACCCGCGAGGGGGTCGGAGAGGCCAAGGGAAACCCCCACGAGTCAAGGCGATGCTACTTGACCGCGATCTCCCTGCATAGGAGGAAGCGGCCCGAGCCCCTGCTCGAAGACCCCTGGGAAATAGAAAGGTCATCCCGACACCCTGAGTCGACGGGACCTACCGTGGACGTGCCACTGTAGGATGGGCGTCCGGATCGAACTGTCAAGGTCGGGTCGAAGCTTCCGGAGCATGAGCGCCCCCAGCTCATCAATCTCCTCCAAAAGAACGTCGATGTCTTCGCCTAGTCTCCCACTGACATGGCAGGCGTGGACCCTGAAGTATCTCAACACCACCTGTGCATTTCCCCTGATGCACGGCCGGTAAAGCAGAGGCCCCGGCGTCTCGCTCCCGAATGCCAGCAGGTCATTCGGGGAGAAGTAGAACGACTCCTGGCGGTAGGCATCATTGAGGAAGCCAAATACCCGCGCTGGTTATCCAATATAGTCCTCGTGAAGAAACCCAATGGAAACTGGAGAATGTGCGTTGACTACACCGATCTCAATCGCACTTGTCCGGAGGACTGCTACCCCCTCCCGCGAATCGACCAGTTGGTCGATGCGACGGCCGGTCACGCCCGCCTTTCGTTCATGGACGCCTTCTCTGGTTACAACCAGATCAGGATGATGCCCGAGGACCAGCAGCATACCGCATTCCTCACCGACCAAGGAGTCTACTTCTACAAGGTTATGCCGTTCGGACTGAAGAACACCAGGGCTACGTATCAAAGAACCGTGAATAAAATGTTTGCTCACCATATTGGGAGAAACATGGAGGTCTACGTCGACGATATGATTGTGAAGAGTCGCACAACTGCAGCTCACCTGTCCGACTTGGCCGAGACATTCAACACGCTACAAAAGTACAACATGCGGCTCAACCCCGCCAAGTGCGCCTTCAGCGTCAACTCGGGCAAATTCCTCGGGTTCATCATACACGAAAGGGGAATTGACGTAAACCCTGACAAGGTACGGGCAATCACCGACATGTAGGCCCCTCGGACAATCAAGGAGTCACAACGCTTGAACGGGAGGCTCGCCGCCCTGTCAAGGTTCTTATCCCGATCGGGTGACTGGTGCCTACACTTCTTCCGGGCCCTGAAGAATCCCAAAGAGTTTGCATGGACGGCGGAGTGCGGGGAAGCCTTCGCCCGCATAAAGGAGCACCTGGCCTCCCTCCCTCACCTCGCTTCGGTGTCCCCTCAGGAAAAGCTCGGTATATACCTAGTTGCCTCCCAAAATGCAGTAAGTG